CTTGAAAAGAAAGAAAGAAAAGCAAGGACAGAGTAATTGGAGGCTCCTGTATTCTCACCGCATCATGTTCAAGATAAAGCCTCCACTTTATGAGAACTGCTTAAGTCGAAGAAGGAAGCCTTCTTCTCTTAAGTGCATTCAGTCTACCTCAGATAGGCCAGGGCAACATTCTGAGCCCTGAATTGCACATATGGGCAATCATTATGGAAAATGCCAAAGTTACTAGAAAAGTCAGACTCCATTTCTATCTTAATAAGTGTTTTTGTATCATGCAAAAACGAGACATCAACAGAGTCCCCAAATGGAAGTCTCGTCCTGCCCTATATTCTGATTCCTTTAGGACTGTTGAATTGAGTTGTCTATCTGGAGTAGCCAGTACCCTTTCTTGAATGGAGACTATTACCCACAATGTAGTAACAGAGAACTTTCCCTGCCCAAATTCGCAGGTAGATTTAGCTGAATATTCTTTGTCCCCAGGAGTAGCCAACTATATCTCAGCTGCATTTATCAGGAACTTACTTGCCACAGCAGTTAGCTGGAGGTTGGGAAAGAAATGCTGATCCCTCCACCCTCCTTAGGTGGAGTCCTCTACTGGGATTTGGGTGGAGAGGACACCATATGTTCTTGATTGCAGCTACATGAAACATAACTTCCATTACACTGGGTTGGGAGGGAGTGGATATATCTGGCTCTTCTGACACAAATAATTGACTCTGCTTCTATTAAGTGTTAATAGATTTTCAGTTATTTAATAATTGCTTCTTCATGTTGTAGTCTGTAAATAACTTCCTACTATTTTAAATTATGTAGTTTTTTGTTTTGTTTTGTTTTGTTTTAATATTTTCCAACAGTTTCGCTGAGAGTGGCTCATTAAATTTCCTGACCTTCAAATCCCAAAAGTGGAATCTTGGATAAAATTTGAGCAAGAAAGCTAAAACATTGGGGTAAATTGTGACTGTTTATTGAGAAAGGGATTATTGAAGGAATATATAACTTGGCAGATGTATGAAAAATCAGAGTTTTTGTTGTAGCAACTAATTCTCAATACCTATTAGATAGCTATAAAATAAATTGTATAAATTACAGTGTCATGGTAAATATTAGTGCACATAGTATAAATTTCAGATTTAACATACCGATATTTCAAGCTGTGATGCTGGATGATAATCCTTAAATAAATGGATGCAAATAAAGGTTTTCATCAATTTTTTTCTTTTGTTCTAAAGAATTCTCACATAAAATTGTATTTAAGTTATTAATGTAATCTCTGGATCATATTAAAGAATTAGGAAGAAGAGGCAAGCAGGATGCAAGACTGTATTGTATGAAAAGTAAAAGAGAAGAAGTACAGGTTCCATTTCTCAAGTCTTGTAGGGAAAAAAAACTTTTAAGGAATGTTTTAAGAAAAATAATAAGAATGGAATGAGTAAGCTACTGAGAAATCATACAAGATGAAGTATAGGACCACTTAATTTTGAAAAGTGAAATTCTAATCTTACCAATGCCAGTAATAGTAATGAGAATGAAAACCTGATTGGATTATTGTTTGGAGTCTAAAAATTTTGTTATCCAAATATATAAATAAATTATTGATTAGATATTATAGATTGAAAAGAAGCTTAAATATTATAATGCCTAATTAAAAGGGAAATTACCTTTTTCTAATTAAGATTAATTTAGCCAAGCTTTCTGATAAAAATTTGGTTGTCATGCCAACCGCTAGGGTTGTGTTGCTCTAATTTTTAAAGTATCAAACCTTACTGTGCTCTGATGAATCCTGGAGTAGTTTTAAGTTCTATAAGGGTATTTGCTCTAGTGATATTATCAAATAAGACTATTAAAAATCATGAGAGATGAAACAGAGAAATTGTATTCAGATATCACTTTTGAAAGAAGATTCAAACAAGGAAGAGGGGAAATTATGATGAACTTGTACAAAACTACTCTGATGCATATATCATGAAATGTGTCAGATAGGGCAAGTGGATTAATAAGAAAGAATAAAATTCTAATCAATTACTGGTTGTTCTTCCTTATGAAGTGTATATTCAAAATAAACAATGACAGGTTACCATTGGGAAAACTGATTGGATGTTATCAACAATAGACTTTCAACTTCCATGTTCTACCCTGATACCTCACATAAATTATAGTGCACCATTTTACATGGTTTCAGTCTCTGGAGAACTTAAAAGAATGAGGCACTACAGAGCACATGAGGAATTTTTTTTCTTCTTCTTCTTTCTCTCTTATAAAGGTACTTACTAAAAATGCAGTAGTAAGCAATCTTCACCCATTACTTAAATATTCACTTAGTCTACTCATATAATAAATATATTGGGCAATATGTCTTTCACTGCATATAACATGTTGTATTTAATTTTTGTGTTTTCTTTATAAAGTTTTTATGTTTCATTTCTAAAGTAGCATGCATAGCAATAGGATATAAGAAAATATTGTGGACTACCTAATCCAGTGACTTTGTGCCACTCACAATTTTATGTTTTTATACTGTGTAAAAATAGAGTATTTTATGTATATGTGGTTTGAATGAATCTGTAAAACAATCAAGTCTACTTTCACTTCTCTTATACAACATTGTCAATGGAAATAAGATAGAGACAGTTTTTGCCTCTAAAAATTTGTGTAGATTAGAAGTATAAGAAATGCGAATATTTCAAAAAACTAAGAAGTCATCTCTGAGAGGAACAAGAAATGACTTTTGTTGCTGTTTTGATTGTTTCCTTGCTTTTCAAGAATACATGCCGTACCCTAAAAGAATCCAAGAAAATGTCTGGATATATATACTGACCATTGCCATCCTTTTAAGGAACAGTGTTTTGCTTACATATTTTCTCTTTGCTTTCTGCCAATTTTCTTTACCGTGCTAGTCATAAGAACGGTTTGTTTTATTTTGAAGCTGCTGGCATAAACTTCCTCAAAGATATTCCTAAGGAAGCATTGAATTCTAATACTTTAGTTAGCAAGTTGATGTTTGAGAGGACTGATAAAGCACAGAACTGCCTGGATAACCCCATCACTCATGATTGATTTGCTAAGGGATCAAGAGCTCCTTGCCCGAGTCATCCAGGTATATTGCTTTCCTGCAACTCAGGGAGTATCACTAGTTGAGCTAAAATTGAGCTGGATATCACTGGGCCTCTGAACCACTGGATACTGCATTGACCTAGCCTAGATAATGTGTGATACTAGGAACATAAATAACCAAATAAGGCAACAAAAACCATGTTAAGTTACAATAAAGTCAGTTTCATATATTGTACTATTATAACTTAAATATTCACATTAATATAATTTATATATAATGATATATATTTCCCTTTTATTGCAAAAGAGAAAAGCAATTTATTTTGGCATAATACATATAGTTTCTGGAACTATGTCTTACTCTCCTGTAAAGAGAAGAGATATTCTTTCTCTGCTTATCTATGTCAAAATTTCTGTCAGGAATAATCTAGCACAGAAGTACAAAGCAGTACAGTATAACTGAAATTATTTTCTGATTTATTAACAATGCATTGTTAATTTTCAATTTTAATTTCTATAATTAGACTAATGTGCTGACGTACAGTCTGTAATATTAAATTGTATATTTGTTTTTCAGTTGGATTATTCTGCTTGAATGTATTAGTTGCATGTAAATATCTATGTGTGTGTATACTATGTGTGTATATATGTTTAAGAATTCAAATGAATTAAGATTTTAACTTTATCATATCCACTCAACTTACATTTCTAAAGGTTTATGGACACTGTAACATTTTTATGTTAAAAAGTGTTGTATTTTATGTTTAAAAAGTATATTTTGTATAGTACTAAGAATTATGTCAAGAAAACGCGCGAATGTGTGCATATGTGTGTGTGTGTGTATATCTCCATCCTCGTGATCTACTTGCCTCCCAATTCTCCCCACTGTCTAATACCATTGCATTGGGCATTAGGATTTCAACTTGAATTTGGGGCAGAAACAAACATGCAGGTCACAGAGTACATAAAGAAAGCAGGCATACAATGTGACTTGCCTACATCCCTAGCTGCAGCATAATACCTGACAAGAGTTTCTAATAGTTAGTAGAGAAAGGTTGTTTTCAGTCTTAACAGGAGATTCGCACACTATATGTGTTATGCCAAAAGAAACAAATTGTTTTTGTGAAAATAGAAATTTCTTAAACTTTAACCAGTTTGATTATCTTCCTGAATATTTTGAATTCTCAAAATTATGTTTTCCAAATATGGGACATGACTTTGTGGTTGTGTAAATGTGCAAAATAGGGAATAGTATTCCAGTTGTGCACTATAATTACATTAACTTAGTACAGGCAACAAAAACCATGTTAAGTTACAATAAAGTCACATATTTCATAAGTCAAGAAAATTACTGATCAAAAGGAGTGGTAAGAAAATAAATATTCCACACATTTACATGTGTGTACACAGAATTGCAAGATTTACTATGAAATGATTTCACATTTGGTAATATTAAAAAACTCAAAATGTCAAAAAATATCAGACTCTGAAATATAGAATAACTCAGGTTCATAAATTAAAAATGCTTGAGCAGTAGACTATGATGCAATAAATTTGGGTAAAGATGTTGTTTTCAGATGGAAAGGGAGTTATGCAGTCCACAGATGTGTACTGACCATCCAGTAGGTGACAGTAATAATGCTGAGTTTGCAGGCTATAGCCAGGAACAAAGACATAGTCTCTCCAGTATACATGCAAAGAGCTTTCACTTGGTAAATAGACAAACCTCATGAGAACTATGCCAGGCATCAGAGGTCAGATATATTTTGAATCGTCTAGCAGTCCAATAGTATTCTACCAGATCATATACCCTCCTAATAAGGATAACTTTTTAAAAAATATTCAGATCTAAAAAACTAAATAGTATTTGTGTTTGTCTTCTTTCTCTAAAATTACATGTTAATGATTTCCTGAACACCAGTTTCATTTTTAAACCTTTCCTCCGACCTTAGGAGCTGATGCTGTGGAAGCTCAGTGTAAAAGATTTGAAGTGAGAGCGAGTGAAGATGGCAGGGTCCTGTTTTCTGCAGATGAAGATGAGATAACCATTGGTGCTGAAAAGCTGAAAGTTACAGGTACTGTAGATTGAGGTCATGGAACATGACCCTAAATAAGAAATTATATTTTTTACATATTGATTCCCATACTTAAAGTTGAGTTCACCTGAGATCATGCTCTCACGATACTGGATTTTTCAAGAGTCTTCAAATAGAATATTCCAGATGTGGTTGCAGAAGAAAATGTCGCTATTACTGATGTTAAAGTCAAACTGTGTGTCTCTGGTTAAAGCAGGTAGGACAAATTGGGTGTGGATGAGGTAGAAAATGTGGAGTGCACACAGTCAGTAAAGATCAATAAAAGATACACAAATATAAATATGGACTTTAAAATAATTTGGGGGGGAGTTACATTACAAGTAAACTAAGTTAATGTTCTTAAGGACTCATAATTATCTTCAAAAGTACATAAATCAAGAAATAGTGCTAATCACATATTACTTAGAAACTCTTAAAGTCATTACTCTAAGATTACAGTCATTAAAATCAACCACCAGTTAAAATACAAAATTCAAAAACAAAAAATCCAAGAAAGTTAAATGCAGAGCTGGGAATGGGAAAGCTTTGAATAAAGACTAATGCAAATATACTTTCCTTTAATTAACTGATTTGTGAATTTGAGACCCTTTTTTTTTGACACTGTATTTTAAAATATATTTTTTAATTCCCAAAATCTCTGGATTTTTTAAAAAGAACAAAGTAAACTGTGTTTGACTTATTGTTTCCCAAGTTTGAGTTAGAAAACAGTCCCCTATGATCTCTATTATATTTAACTTTATTAACTTTAGTTTGACCTAAATAAATATATCCTGTGGGTAATGTGAGAACAATCAGCAAGGTAATTAATGAATATAGGCTTTGCTCTCCATCTGTTTGTGTTAAATCTTGCTCCTACCACTCAATATCTGAAGTGAGCTCTCTAAACCTTTGATTTTCCTTAATCTAAATGATGGAAAGAATGATAACCTTTGTGCTTAGCTTACACATGTGTACGTGTGTGTACTTACCTGTGCTGATGAGTTTTTAGAATTTTCTTAGCACACAATGAAGACATTGTGAAGGTTAGCTCTTCGCTTTTATTAACAGAGGTGTAATGTATACTCTTTGATGTCTCAAACACAGGGTTTAAGTAGACTTTAAATGGTGAACTTTTAAATGGCAATTAAATTAATAAGGATTCTTAAGTAAGAAGCCTAACTGGCATCCCAGGACTGTCATTGCCACCACCCCTCCTTCTCCATGGCCTCCTTTCTCTCAGGAGCGTGTCTTACGGAGGAGCTGTGCCCTTGCTATCCAGTTGATGCTAAGGGTGATCCCCACAAAGCCCATCTTTCTCCTCTCCCTTTCTTCTCAGAACTCTTGGAGTCATGTACGTAGGGCTCAAATTGGCATGCCTGGTTACAGAGACGAGGGAACAACAAAAACAAACAAAATTTTCTTAAGAATTTTGTTTGGCACAGAGCACAAAAAAATCAAAAAGGATTTTTGTCTTAGGTGCCAACATTTCAGTTGCAGGTTGGTTTACAATTGGGGATGTGGGTAGAAGAAACTGGTTCATGGGGACTGGGAAATGGGATTTCAATATTTAATAACCTTTGAAAATTTGTAGTGCTTACAGTAATGAACTTTGATGGCAACATAATTCGGAGGTTGCTTTCAGGATATTTCACACACAAACAAATTATGTTATCTATAGTCACATATTCCCATTGGGTATTTTGCATATGTAAGTGTCTTTCTGGAGCCCTGCCAGCGTTTATGACAATGGAATTGTAACTGTCTCTGGTCTTTATATTACTTTGACTTGTCTTAGAGGGTTGTAGTGAAGTACTGTCTGCACAAAATTGTGCCTATTGACTGTATTTTAAAATTTTATTTTAAGTGGGTGGGTGATCATCTTTATGTTCCTTTCTTTCTTTCTTTTTTTTTTTTTTTGGTAGTCTGACTGCCATTTTTTGGACTATATATAAATTGGATTCAACTCAGGCTGAAAAATCTTGCATTTTTAGCTTTTCAGATACTGCCTTTGGGCAGTCATCTATGGCAACATTCTTTCTCTTCCTCCCTCTCTTCCTTCTTCCCTTCTCAATGTATCTGTGAAAATATATGTGTGACATATGTGATATATGTATGCTATGAATGATAGATGCCTACATAGATATGATTCTTTCAGTCTCTCTTTTGCCATTTCCTTCTGTAAAAAAAAATATATACACATAGTGTGTATTTATTCAAAATTCCCTTATTTGATATATTCCAGTTATCTCAATATATTTTACAATAGGCTGTGTCCTATGCTTTCAGAAGGTCCTAAATAGTAAAATGATATAATTTTGATGTCATAGTTACAGAATCAAGGCATATTTTTATAATCAGATAAAGAATAACACTTGGAATGAAAGAAATAATAAATCTATGAGAGTATCTATAACAAATACCCTAACCTTTATTTTCATATACATGAGGCTCCATACTGATCATAAATAAGCACTATATTAGAGAGTACTGTAGTTTGATTAGAACATTCCTAGTATTCATTTATGTTTCTGTCTCTCACAGAAACATATGCATACATGTACAACCTCAAATTCCTACAAGCTCATTATTTCTTTGCCAGTGTATCACATATTCTCTTAAGCGTAGAATTATTCCTTCCTGTCATACTTTTAAAATAAAGAAAAATAAAGATATCAAAGACAAATGTGATTTAGAATTCCACATGCTTAAAGGAGAAAATTGTGCATGGCATAATATGCAATTTAAGGGCACTGGGATTGATTAGTAATCTCACATACACTTTAAAGCAGTGCTTGGATCATTTCACAAATAACACTACAAAGAGACACTGACTTCAGGGTCTTTCATATAAATTAGGTAGCTGTGCTGACAGCACATCAAAGTAACATGGGACAAGAGAGCTTTGTGAGGCTTATTCTAGAATTTTAAGTTTGGGCACAAACATTTTTCCATTTAAGCAATACCCATAGGTATTGCTGACTGACTCTATATTTTACAAATATTTTACAAACAACGGTATTTTGCACATGAACTTCCTTTATGGGACAACAGAGACAGATCCCTTTACTTGGACCATGTGTCTATACATGTAAGGCAAATTCCTGTGTACCTGAATGCATTAGCTGATATATTAAGGCTCAAAATTTTTACATTTACCTTTTCTAGAAAGTAGAAAAAAATTTTTTGAAGCAGTAAACACTTCTTAGGGCACTGGAAGATAGAAGTATCATGGCACACGATTACTCAAACCCACCCCCACTATCTCATCATCATGATGAACAATCATATGCTTAACAGATTAATGTTACTTTAATATTAATTACTCAGTAATTACTTGCTTAAATCTTAATCTGCAATACTTATTTGACCATAACTGTAACCTTGCCCAGCCTCTCTGTGGTGTAGATTTCCCTGTTACTGGGTGTAATCTGGTATAGTAGGTGATGATAAGTCTGGGAACCTCCGCATGTGTCCAGGTAAATGAAAGGTCACACAGCTTGGCTGTGTGCAGGATATGCAGAGGAAGGTCTCCTAGTAACCTCTGCTTAGGAGCTGAGGAGCATACTGAGGAGCACCTGTAATGGGAAACCAGCCACCATGTGGAATCAGACACCCTTCCCAGAAGAAACTGGAGGGCCTCCAGTTTCTGCAAACATAAGCAAAAAATCTGGTATATGTACAAACATTAATTTTCCTAACAAATTACATTCTCTTCTCTTCTCGCCTACTGATAGTTTTTATTTTATTTATATATTTTATTTTTTT